TTGGTGCCAGACTTTGGTGCCAGTTCTATTAAAGCCTATGGGAGATGTGTGCAGAAGCTCACTAAACCCCAACATATCTACATCATATGACCTTTAATGAAGAACTCACTTTAGAGAATAGATATTTCCATGTGTGCATTTGTTTATTTGCTGCGGTCTCCAAATAGTACTGGATCTATGGATGCGGAGAGCAGTGATAATTACGATCTTCTTGTAGTAGTCTGAAATTTTTGCTGTTGGCAGCCTGGTGTTCCATTCTTGCTGTGTCTATGAAGTCAGTGTGCAGGGAGTAAAGTATGACTATGTATAAAATTTAAATAAATAAATTGACAGTTGGGGTTATGCCAGATTAGCTCAGATCAGCTATTTTGGGTTAGAGCCTTTTAAGGGGAGGTCGGCCTTCTGCAGGTGATGAATAAATATTGTAAATAAAATCTGTGTTCTTCACTCCTCTCTACCTTTTACTTGGATCCGGTGGCTGCTTTACGATGATTGACAGTGCTAATAATTATTGTTATGGGAATATAGTCTTCAAATGAAACATTTACAAACCTCCTCTGATTATTAATTGTGCATTGTTAGGTAAAACAACAAAGGCATATATACATGGCGTTAAACTTTTAGAAAACCTTTAACCACAAACTTGATCATCAGAAAATAATTAATCTAAATTGAATGACGCAATCTGCCGTAATAAAATCAACACCTGGCCTGTACTCCCATTTATCTGGTGACCTGCTGTTGCTAATCTACATAACATCTGGTCACCATGTCAACAAACTGTAGATTGGGTTACATAATGTTAGCTAACAGGCTCAGAGTTAATATACTGAGGAGCTTTTCAGGCTAGACCCCGTAGATTATAGAGAGATGGAGCAGGGACCCCGTATATACGTATATCGTATAAAGATGTGTTGCATATTAAACTGGGCCTACAATAACATGCACACTACAAATAGGCAAGTGTATCTATTATGTTGGATTCATGTTGATGTGTATTTGCAGACATGATATTTTAAAACTGCAGTAAATAAAAGTGAGTAAAAACTAACTTTTTGTAGTATTTGCTAAAACTTTCACCTTTGTTCAGGCTTGTTGGATTCCTCTAAATGTCATTAGGAGCACTAGGAGGAGCCAGATTATTTTTTTTTTTTTTTTACAGATTATCAATATACAGTGAAAGTTTCAGCAAATATGACAAAAAAATATGTTTTATAAAGGTTACATACTGCAGGTTGATTTTCTTTAAGAGAAAAAAACACTTAAAATGATTGTAATAATAATTTGGTGCCCCTCTGCACTAACTCTGACAACCCACTAGGGGTCGTGGACCCCCTGTTGAAGACCCAGGAGAATATCATAGTTTAGCTAACTTACTGCTAACATTAGTCTGATACTAAGCTCCTGTCCATTATAAATTTAGCATAATGTAACTTGATAAATTAACATACAAGTCAAACGAAGTGTACTTTGAAAACACATGAAACATTGGCTTGGGGAGAGATGGAGTGGTCTACCCATTCACCACAACGCTAACTGCACTGAGAGCTCTCAAGCGTTGCACCAGTGTGACATAATGACCCTTCCTTTTTATTTTTCTTGGATATAATGTCTCAGTTAAAAAAAATCATTGTATCACATTTGTTGATTTTGCCTTGTTTTATTTCAAAATATTTGCCCACAATAACTGTTGTGCTTTATGTGAGCACTCGTACCCATGAGTACCTGTAGCAGGATGCTAGCAGTAACCTGCTGAAGTCTGGGTGGAAAGAACATTCTTCGGTGTACTTTGTGTCCTCTAAATGTGCCTTTTTACACAAATAAATCACTTTTTAATGCTGGTTTGTATCAGTCCTACATTGTTTGTTCCACAAGTTAATGTGGAGCAAAGATATTGTCAAGTTATTTCTTTATAGTTGATGTCTGCATGTACTTAAGTCTACTATATACCAAAGTCTTCCAGTCTATCTATTCAGCAGAGTCTGTCCCATAGCTACCACTGAGGACATGTCCTTCATTTATTTACTTTTGTTTTTAGCAACCTGTGGAAGGTGACAATCTACAGGTAAAGATGTACACTTCAATAAAATATTTCAAATATTCCTGTATTTTTAAATTTGACCAACAAGCGGGGCAAGTTCTGACATGTAAGTAATTAATTAAAAAGATAATTCTATATTGCAACCGTACAAATATTAGCCGTAACAGGTAACTAGAAAGGATTATAAAAAGGATGAGACCAAAGATTGAACCCAGAGGAACTCCTGTGTTGATGTAAAACGGGAAGTGTTGCCAAAGCATGTTATTATTTTTGATATCACAGGCCTTAGACCAATAAAAAAAAGGAGACTGTGTATACAGGTTCCTCATGTGAGGACAGCCCACAAAGATATGAATAACCATGGATGCGGAGAGGGACCCATAGAGAATGCCTTTGTACAGGGCTGAGGCGAAAGCACATACATCTTTGCTATTGGTTGAGGCTGTTGCTTTCTAGGACATTTTCTACTTTTCTAGGACATTAGTTTCCTCACTTACCACCTCACTGCTTCCTTTTGTAAGTTCATTCCAAAAACTGAGTGAGAGCTACATTGTGCACTTTTTCGCTGGGTTTCCTTTGTGAGATGAGTAGTAGATTAGAGCATTGTAGATAGTAGGATGTTCCGGCGTTGATTTATGTCTACGGTGGTCAATGAATTCCGCTATTAAAAGAAAGAGGACAAAAAGAAGAAACGCTGTACAGAAAAGGCAGCTCCAAAGGAGCAGTTCTTCTGATGTAAAATAAAATCCCTTCATGCAGGTCTAAAAGTTACAGATTAAGAGCTGTCTGGCTTCTAGGAATCTCTTTTAGTATGGATCTGTTCAGCCTTAGCACAAGTTTGAATAAAACTTTCATCTGCTGAGCTTTCAATTAATGCAGAGGAAAGGTATACAGTATTTTTACATCAATGATTCACGTTGCCCAGGGGCAGAACTCCTTTGTTTCTTTACTCCCTCTCTCTTTCTGTCTCTGTGTGATGAGGTATCGATCCGATGCATCCTGCAGAACAACGGTACGTGGAGGCAGCTTTTGGAAGGTGATCGGAAAAACCTGCTAGCCTTAAAGCACGCTGTCACAGTCGGGCTCATCACATGGTATCCTTCATATTTCATCTTTGGGTAGTCAGCGTGCACTATTATTTCCCCCTGAGGTACATGTACTGCCTGATAATGATGAAGTGTAGTTCAAACTTCTGCCTGGAGAAATAAATGTGACCAGCATTTTTATCTAAATGCAGCTAGGAGAAGTAACCCCAATACAACTATAGATTCACCATGCTGTTGTATGTACCCTTCTGTTAAAGAAAGAAA